CTTGGATACCAGTTACGTCTAGGGTTCAGTTCTTGAGGCAGTATTCGGACTCAAAGGTAACAGTGTTGGAGGCCAAGCGTATGGTGACATCATGGTGTTTGGGCCGGGGGATGCCAAGGGTAAGTGGGTAGCCACCAAGCTTGGTGACAAAGGTGGGGACGGATTCCAGGTGATCATTTATTTGGAGATCGAAGTGTGAGATATGGGTGATGGCCCCGGAGCTAATAGGCCTCCCATCCATGACAGAGAGGTAGACAGGTTCTTTGAGCAGGGATAGGGGTAGCTGGTGACGGCTAGCGAAGTCTATGTCCTTGAAAGCATACCCAGTTGCTCCAGAATCGATAAGGGCGTGGGTTCGAATTGTATGTTGGTTGCCTATAATGTCACAGGCGACTACCAACTTGAAGTGGTTATCCTCAATTCCATTTTCCATTTCGTCCACAGATAAACTAGAAATAACTAAACTAGGAGAAGACTTAACATGTCCCATGTCAGTGCCGGAGGCTGCACATGGGACCACTAGTTTTCTGACTCTTCTTGGGCAGGGAGGGGCTCCTCAGGAGCGGGAACAGTGTGTGTACTGGCGCTATGCATGGGGCGGGGTCCCTTGTTGGGACAGGTGTGACCCATATGCCCATGTCCCCCACAGTAGAGGCAGAGGCCATGGTTGCTCCGGTCTTGCCTTTTGGCAGTGGTGAGCTTTTGACGACCTGCCAAGATGTCCATGGGGCCGCAGGTGGTGCCCGTAGCCGTGGAGGCTGGGGGGAGTGCAGGAGCGGGGGTGCACGAACTAGGGTGGGTGGAGGTCCTCCAAGAGGACGAAGAGGAGCCTTACTTTTCGGCGGCGCGAGCACGGACATTGTTGTCAAGCTGCTGGAGGAGGGAGAGGTAGTCGTTGAGGGGTTCAGGAATGGAGAAGACATGTACCAAGGTGTCTTTCAACTAACTGCTGGGGCCCTGGTAAAGGGAGGTACCCTTAGCGGCATCGCTCCAGAGGGTGTCAACAGCGAGGCGTTGGAAGTCGGCCAGGTATTCTACAAAGGGGCGGTTCATTTGTTGGAGGCTCTTCAGAACGTCTTCTGCTGTTTGGACCCTATTAGGGTCACCAAAATCCTGTTCCAACTCGGCAAAAAGGGTGTCCACGTTCTCAAAGTCGATGCGGTCGGGCAATACCCGGTGGTGGATCTGGAGGTAGGAGTGCCCTTGAAGGAGGCCAAGGGCGTAGCCCAGGTGGTGTTGTTTACTGGTGAACTGGTGGGCATCACCCTGGAGTTTCATGCGGAGTTGCGTGACGAAGGGGCGAAGCTTGTCAGTGATACTGTCGAATTGTTCAGGGTCGGTGATTGAGACGTGTTTGTTGCCACCAGCAGGGGCTGCAGCACCGAGGGCAGGCATGAGGGTAAGAGCGGTATTCAAGGACATGATAGTAGCGTTGGCCTGTGTAAGGCTAGCTGCGACGATAACGAGACAAGCTTCGAGGCCTTGGTACTCAGTTCGGGCCTCGTCTCATTCTTGGGTCAGGAGGTTGCAGTGTTGCTGCAGCTGCTCCTACTGGGGAGTCTGTTCCAGCGGGACAGGGGTGGCTTGACGAGGGGGAGGAGCAGGTGCATTCAGGATCTCGCAGGCCAGGTTTCGGGCAAGATTGAATTGGGTCTAGAGCTGAGCATAGTCAAGGCCTTGGGCGTGGTCATCCTGCAGGGCCGCGAGGGTCAGGAGGAGACCATTGATGTCCTCAGGGAGGTGAGGGGTGGCCATGGTTTGGTGTCGGTTGGGTCCTGGTAGACGCAATCTTGTGTAACTGATAGGGTCTGAAGGTCGGATAGCCCAAGGCACACCACTATCCTGACAGGCGACAGTTCAGCAGACGAGGTCTGGGTACAGAGGTACAACCGAAGTGAGCTGTACAAGGCTCAGGGGTCCAGGGTTCAGGGTCAGGGTTCAGCGGTTCAAGAGGACGCAACAGAGTAGAGGTTGTAATGCCTAGGTACAGACGTCCAAAGGAGATTACCAGATTGCGTAAAGAATATAAAATGTAAGGGGGTACACCTCTTGATATAAATCGGAAATCCTCCGCCACCACTAATACAAAGGAAAGTCCTTGGCGTCACGCGCAGCCGTGATCCTTCCATCAAGTTCCGCCAGGTTCCGTTGCGCGGCAACTGATCCCAATCATAATACAAAGGAAATCCTACTAAGCAACCAAAGAAACCACAACCAATATATGCAACCAAAAGCCCAATATTCCATCCCCATACAGGTCCGGGTGGCCGTGACATCATGTCACATAATGGCACCACCAGATTATCTAGGAGGGTCACATAAGCGGGCATGGAGGAGCTGCAGTTGCGGATGCCCGGCTCTAAAAGGAGGTAGGTAGGAGAAACGATGCTAAGTTTTACATTGAACTGTACTGAATGGTCCCTTCAAATGTCCTGACAATCAGTGAGTAATCTGCCTCATGTTATATTCCAGCTTAACTATTAAGACTGACCTGTGCAGCCAGTGTTCCCAACCGTCCCGGGCACCCTACAGGGCCCTGGCGGGCTTGTAGTTCCGGGCGTCCGGGGGAGAGGTTAGGATGGACAACAGGACGGGCGTCCCTCGAGGGCAGAGTTCCAGAAACTGGTGTCCGTCGCGTCGGAAATCAAGAACCGACGGACTGGACGCTTGGGAACACTGTTTACAGCCCATTGGGAAACGCTCCATATCCGGAGTATTCACCCCGGGGTCAAAACAAATAACAAGAGAATTGGCATGCAAGAATTCTACTAAATTTTTGCAGAATTCATCATGGAATTGGAATCATCCAACATGGATGTGGGGTGCTTGAATGCAGTGCCTCCGACAAAGGTAACTACAGCGTACTGGAAAGTACTGACATGCCAGTAGTATGAATGACCAAAGGACACATGTCACGTGGCGGTGCACCTTAGAGAGCTTGCTGGTTGGCTATTTCATGTTTCAGTTCTTTTGCGTTCTGTCCTTTGCCATGTTTGGCCCATCGCTTTTTCTTTCTTCTCCCCAGCTTAGGCGCTGCCCAGTTTGGCATGCCTTTATTTGTAAAAACCATGATTGCAAAACATGTTTTGTAAACATATTTACTAACAATGCACAGCCTTGTTTTGTAATAATGTTTATGCCAAACAGCATCATCATTTCTAAACATCATTTGCAACAAAGATTTTATTAGCCATGGCTTACCATATTAAATTTCTTATTAGTAATAAAATTTTAAATAGATGAGATCTAAATAAGAAAAAGATATTGACAAACCAAAAGTTAATGTGCATATTATAGAAGTGATTAAAAGCAATTCGCAATCAGAAGGAATTGTAGCACGATTGCTAGTAGTACTCGTTTGTATTTCATATAGATTGAGGCAATAAAAGCAGAACAATTAATTCGAAAAGCAAGGTGAAAGGATAGTATACTAGTTGTTTAACAGCTAGAAGGCTTATACAACCAACAAGTTTGATTGCATTTGGTCTAACCCCAATTTCAACCCTTTTGCAGCCCTATTCCTAGTACTCTATGAACAATTTAATTAATATAATAATATAATATAACTATTTATTTAATACACTTTCAAGAAATATTACAAGAATGTTTATACAAATGATATCAATTATTATATATATCAATTAAGGAAATAATTTTTAGTAATCATTGTAACATATCTTGATATTACTACAAAACATGTTTTGTAATATTAGTTACTATGTTGTGTTTACAAACAATGTCATGCCAAACCCACTCGTTATTACAAAACACGATTTGGCTCAAAGCATGTTTTGCAATCACAGTTTTTACAAACAAAGGCGTGCCAAACTGGGCCTTAGTTGTTCCTGTTTGTCATATTGTTTGCGGGGGTAAGCAGAAGGTAGCTGCTTTATTTTCTAAAAAATCCACTCTCCTTGCCCTGTAACATGATTTATGGGGAGTGGCTCA